CAGTCTTGTCTTTCCAACTCTGAGGCAAGGGTTGAGGATCCCAGGGCATTGGAAGGAGACCAGACAATGACTCCTCTCTTTTCTGACCATCACCTTCACCTTGGAGCTCAGAAGTCATTGGCCTCTGCCTGGAACCGCAGGAGAAAACTGTGTTGATCTTTGGCTGTGACTTAAAGACAACTGGTTCTGGAAAGCACCAGAATTATTCCAGTTGATTGCTATAGATTCTCTGGTATGCTTGGAGAGAGCATGAGGTGGAATGGGTGTCCTCAGCCCCCTCCATCACCCAAGTACGGGTCCTGTTTGATCAGAGTAATCCAAGGGCCTGTTGAAAGCTCTCTTCCCTCTGGAGTTCAGTGTGGGAATATGGAGGACAAACATACAGGTATTAGCAGCCACATTACAAATGGGAAAACTGAGGCTGAGGATGGGGAAAACTGAGGCTGAATGTTTATTTCATGCTTGCTTTGTGCTGGGCACTGAGCTAGGAGACAGGTCTTTCTTCATCCTCCCACCACCCTTTTAAGGGATACGCGACATTACCCTTGTTTCAGTGAGGCTCGAAAGGATCTGAAAAGTCAGGCAACTGTCCCAAGGTCACAGCTAGTAGATGTCAAAGCTGGTATTCGAACAAAGTTCCATCTGTCCACGGCCAGGTCACATGATTTGAAATAGTGGAGCCAGGAGCTCTGATTTACCTGCTGGTCTTCCTCAGCAGCAGTTTTTTAACCTGGCTGGTCATCAGAAACACCTCAGGACTTATTTTTAAAATTACAGTGTCTTGAGCATGTTATCATTGAGTCTGATTCAACGGGTCAAAGGAAGAACCTGAGATTATGCATTTTTAAAAAGCCACTTCAAGTGACTCTGGCGTTCTGGAAAGCACAGCAGTGGAGCACATGGCTTCTCCTATAATCTCCTAGGATTTCCTCAGTTCTCACAAGCACGGATCCAGTCCAGCCCTGCATTTACCTCAAGTAACATCTGCCACTGAATTCATTATTCATTCATTCCAGGCTCAATGCTCAACATTTATTACTATGTGCAGGCATCGTGCTAGACATTTTGGCTGCAAAAATGAACAAACCACAATGTCTGCCTCGAATATCCAGGTAGTGGGGAAGACAAACATAAACAGGAAAGAACTAGCAATTCACCGTAGCAAATGCTAGCCAGAGGTAGGCTCGTGTTGCTTTAGGAGTGCAGACTAAGGGGTCGAGGAGTGATGCTTAAAGCCCTAAAGGAGTTAGCAAGGCAGGAGGGAGTTGGACGGTAGGCATGGGCAGCCAGGCAGAGGGAACCGCGCAGAAAGGCCCGGAGACCCAGAGCCGTGGCCCAGGGAATGACCAGAAGCTGTGCGGCAGTGGAACGTAGGGTACCTTGAGAAGACAAGGGTGAGCCTGGAAGAGTCAGTGGGAAAAATCAAAGGAAAGGCCCTGGCCGGTTTGGCTCAGCAGTTAGAGAGTCGACCCATGGACCAAAGAGACCGGGTTCGATTCTGGCCAAGGGCACTACCTAGTTGTGGTTTGTTCCCAGCCCTGGTTGTGCGGGTAGCAGCCAGTTGATGTGTCTCTTCACATCGCTGTCTCTCTCTCCCCTTCCCGCTCGGTCAGGAGATTAAAAAATCAAATGAAACCTTTGTGTGTTATGCTAAGGAGTTTGTATTTTAAGGTGATGAGGAGCCACTACAGATGTCGAAGCTATGGAGTGACATCATCAGTTGTGTTTTTCAAGGGCCATTCTGACAGGAATGGGTGAGCCACAGGCGGAAGAAGCTGGCCACAGAGGAACAAATAATTTGCAGAATTAAGAGTTTATGTATGTCCAAAAAGCACCATAAACAAAATGAGAAAGCAAAGCACTTGGAAAGCACATTTGCAATGTTTCTTGACAAAAATAATATTCTTAGTAAAATTACATGTTGATAATAAAGGTAAACATACCAACATCAAATAAATAGAAATGTCACAAAGAAATAAGTACAAATGACCAATAAGCATATGAAGATGTTCATCAGTAATCATCAAAGAAATGCAAGCTCGAACAACATTGACATCCTGTTATTTTCCTATCAAATTGGTGAAGATTTGATAGGTGCCGACACCCACCACGGTGAGGGCGCAGGGGACAGGGCACTCCCCAGGCTGCCAGCAAGAGTGTGCTTGGGCACACGCTCTCTGGAGAACAGTTGGCAATATACACAGAAATTCTTAAAGATAGACAAGCAATTTTTCTTTCGATCTTTATCCTAAGGAAAGAGTCATAGATATGTGCAAACTTCAGCTACAAGAATGTCTGTTGCAACCTTATTTACAATGAAGGTTGGGAACAAATAAAATAATCACTATTAGGAGATTGGTGACCACGTGAGGGTCCATCTATATGATGGGGATGCTACTGAAAAAGTTTGAGAGACATGCAAAAAATGTGGTGTTCCTGATATAGTAAGTAAAGTAGCACAAGGTGCAAAAAGGCATGTCCATATGCTGCCATTTGTGTGTGAGAAAAGAATATAGATACACATGTTTGAAAATGCTTAAATGTCTCTGGAAGGATAGACAGGCCATGGGAACGAAACTAGTTGCTGGTAGACGGGGTGGGAAGGAGATTTACTTCTTACGATAGAGATTTTTTGTAATTTTTAAATTTTGTGTCTGTGTATGTATTACATATTCTAAAATATAAATACACATTTAAAAAAGTAAGTTATTAAAGAGTATATATATATCTACAGTGTGAGCTAGTTTTTGTTGAAAACAACAAACAGTCTATCTGCATGTGTACATTTACCCCACAGAGAACCAACAGATACATGCGAAAGGGTTATAGTATTTGTCTTGGGTGGTAGGACTGTGAATTGGAGTTTGTCTTTTTCCTTTGTCCCCCGACAATTCTACATTACACATGTGAGGCTTTTATAATAATTACAAGAAAAGTATAATGTTTTTCCCCGAAGAATCTATCCCCAAAGTCCAAGCAGGAGATGACAAGCTCAGATCCGGGTTTAGTGCTCCAAGTAGTGTTCAGCTGCGACATCCACAAACACAGTGTGTAATTAAATGACAGTCCCTGTTTGGGGCAGGGATGGAGAGAAAGAAGACGAAGGGAAGGTGAACACACCTGATTTTGCTTAACAGCTTTCTGAGGTCTGTTAGACAAATGAACAGAAAATTCACCACTCACCCCAAACATCAGCTAATACCTCCCGACAGGTTTTTCCGCTGGGACCATTTAACTTTGGGGCATAGTGAATGGAGTTCCAATGGAGCATGAGGATCTGAGCCACCACCAGACAAGCAGACAGCCTGTGCACATGTACTATGAGGTCCCACGACATTGTCCTCACCTACTTCTGGTTTTCAACCTTTCTGTTTGGAAGGATGGCAACAATTTTATCCCCATCCTCCAGTCCTGCCGCAACTCACTCTTTGAGACAAGACCTCTCCCCTGATTCATGGGATGGTTACTCTGAACCCTTCCTGAATGCAGATCACAGGAAGACCCTGCCCGTTGGGACAGGTTCTCCGGGCCACTCTGACGCCCTCTTATCCTTCAGGGTCTAACAAGCAGACTTTCTGGGCTGGAGGCTTGGGGACGGGAATGTGCATGGTTGCCTATGCAGGGTGGTTTTGAAATGGGGTCATGTGAAACCATTTTTAATTAAAATTTTTTTTTCTTAATATGTTTTTATTGATTTTTAGAGAGAGAGAAAGGGAGAGGGAGAGAGAGATAGCTACATCGATTGATGGCCTCCTGCACACCTCCCTCCGGGGATCAAGCCCACAACCCAGGCATGCATCCTGACTGGGAATCGAACCGGTGACCTCTTGGTCCATGGGTCATTGCTCAACCACTGAGCCACACCGGCTGTGCACGGGAAACCATTTTGGATGAAGAGGGCAAAGAGAAGAATATGGTAGGGGCCGGGGGAATGTGGCAGCTCCAACAGCTTCCTCCTTTTCCTCTTCTCCGGAGGCTGACTGTAGGCAGCACCGGTGGCCCTCGGACATCCCCAGCACTGCCTTCCAGTCCCAGTTAGAAGCCTTCGAGGAGCGATGTGAATATGTGAATATAACCTGTGCTGCTGGCTTCTGGCCCCTCAGCAGTGATTAGATCCTGCAGTGGTGGAGCGACTGATTAAACAAATAACCTATAATTAACTTTGTATTCCCTTTCAACCTCTGACTATAATTGCGACTCTTCCCCAATGCTGGGGATGAGGTGAGGAAAGCTAGGTAGGTCGTTTGACGTGCTGGCCCTTCAGCAAGCAGAACGAAAACAGAAATAACTGCTGGGTCTCAGCTATCCTCTCCTGGCCTGTCACCTTCCTGTCCACTAGAGAATCTAGTGTTAGGGACCTTTTTTTTTTTTTTCTTTTGCCTTGGCCATTTTACTAATCCTCACCTGAGGATATTTTTCCATTGATTTTTTTAGATAGAGTGGAAGGGAGAGAGGGGGAGAGAGAGAAACATCGATGTGAGAGAGACACATCCATTGATTGCCTCCTGTATGACCCCCAGCAGAGCCAAGAATTGAACCTACAACCCAGGTATGTGCCCTTGACCCTTCGGTCCGAGGGCTGAAGCTCTAACTGCCAAGTCAAACCAGCCAGGGCTGCTCTGGGCACTTTAAATACAAGAGGCAGCTTATGTACCATCATTGACATAGTCAAAGCTTTTCAGCGTATTACACACGGTCCTGCTCTTGAATGTTGTAACAGCTCAATACACTTTGTAGAGAAGCAACTCACTTTTGAGCAGTTCATAGCTAGAGCTCTGGAGTCAGACAGACCTGGTTCAAATCCCAGCTATTCCACTCAAGGCCATGCAACCCTGGGATAGTTCATTTTTCTGCTTTTCAGTTTTCTCATCCATCAAATAGAAATGCTATCTCATAAGGTAATTGCATGAAAGAAATGAGATTATACATGTAAAGATCTGAGGATAGTGCATTTAATAAATGCTAACTATTAACATTATTGCATCTGTATATATTTTAATTTGTACAATACCGTCTCTTTCACTAATCACACGAAAAATACATGAAAGTGCTTTGAAAAACGTTAAAGCGTCATATAAATTAAAGGTGTCATTGGTAACCATCTCACATGAGTATTTCTCACTCTTCCATAGGACTCCGTCTTGTGTCCCACAGAGTATTGCACAATGATAGGCAAACGATAAGCCCTCGGGAAATGTTTCTCACTGGACTGAAGCAACATGGCATAAAGAGCATAGATATCATGAGACTAGGCTGGGATAAAATTAGCTTAAGGCAGGAGAGCCAGTCTGCAGTCATAATTTATTCATTCAACAAATATTTGTTGAACACATTCTCTGTGCTAGATATTGAGTCCAGCTAATGTCATCAAACAGAGGCAGTTCAAGGCCCACGAAGTCCCGCGAAGCCAAGTCCCTGGGCAGCCGCCCCATCCCCAGCCTACTCGAGAAGCACAACGGCAGCAGCCTACATTGCGCACCTTGGACAAACGGCCCACTGCTTTGGGGAACCCCATCCTGCCTGGCCTTCAGTAGCTCTGAGCACGTTGGGGGAGGGAGTAAAAGTGGGGAAGTGGGCTGCTTCCAACAGAAATGACAGGAACGGCTGCCCATTCATTTATTTTTATTTACACTTAATTAGTCCACAGTTTAGTCCTCGTCTCTCCAATGCTCTCTCCTCTAGACGTCATCTCTCCCTCCCCACATCGCCCACATGGTCAACCCTTGGCCCACTTTGCCCTGCCCTTCTGCTGTCCCAGCTGCCTGCTAGGGAGAATGGCATGTGTGGTCACCAGAGGGCACTGAGAGTGGGCTTCAGTGGCATGTGAATCCTGGCACAGTCTCAGATCCCCAGCGGGAGAGAAGAAAGCACAAGCCAAGACAACAAGGGAGGGAGGGGCTGAGGTTACTGCGGGTAGGGGTGGGGAGTCCAGTGCACAAATTCACAGTCTCTCTCCTGGCTTAGCCAATGATTCAGGTGTTTGTCTCATCCCTGGATTGGTCACAGTTGTCTCGAGATGCCCCGGTCCATCAGAAAGGTGCGGAAGGGTCCAGCCGTGGGCTCCGTGCCTGCTGCCTCTGGGGGTACACCTGCCTCTGTCAGCAGCCAGGCATTGCTGGCCTGGGAGAGTCCTCCCCAGCTGTCCCCGAAGAAGTTAGGGCCCTCTCAGTGGCTGACCTCCTAGAGAAGAGGGTATCACCATTGTCGGGGCAACCCACCAGATCCCAAATTTGCATCTCCTTTCACACTAGGAGGAGACAGCGTTGAGGGGCAATAGAGGAAGAGATGAGGGGGGCTGAGGAAGAAGTTGGGAGGAAGGACTAGAGCCCAGGGAGGGGCTCTCCACCAGGGGATGCCTGCAAGTCCAGGGCTGGGCGCCAGTCTTCTCGAGAGGTGCTGCAGTTACATGGCTTCCTTCTCTCTCTGGGAGCATCGGCTGAGCTTCATCTCTGTCAGCTGGATGTACCGAACCACGTTGGTGTCTGAGGAGAGAAACACACCTTAGGGACCACTGGGTGAGGGCAACTCCCAGGTCTCTGCAGATCCTGGACAGACGGGTCAGACGCACTCGGCCAAGGTCCGTGGCGGCCGAGGGGAACCAGGACGTCGGCGTTCTCCTCCAGGGCCTCTCCCTAGCTAATGTGGACGGGTCACCCCGACCCAGGGACAGACAGGAAGGAGAGAAGAGGAGGATGTGTTCTCCCTCCATTTCTGGGAAACGGCGTACCCCAGTGCTCCTGAGGCAGCACAGTTAGTTGAGGCTCTGTTTAGAGTTTAACCCCAGGCACGTCACCAACTTCTCTGAGTCTCCTGTCTTGTCTGCAAGGAACAACCTCCAGCCCTGGTCAATTTGGCTCAGCAGTTAGAGCACCGGCCAGCGGACCAATGAGTCGTGGGTTCGATTCCGGTCAAGGGCGCGAACCTCGGTTGCGGTTTGTACCGGCCCTGGTCGGGGTTGTGCAGGAGGCAACCAGCAATGTGTCCCTCTCACATCGATGTTTCTCTCTCTCTCCCTCCCTTCCTCCTACTCTACCTGAAGCTAAATAGAAAAATATCCTCTGGTGAGGATTATAAAAAAAAAAAAGAAACAATCTCCATTTCTGAATGCCTACTTTTTGTGCCATGTTAGCTCATTTAACCCTCATTAAAATCCTGCAAGGTAGCCCTGGCCGGTTTGGCTCAGTGGGTTAGAGCATCGGCCTGCGGTCCAGAGAGACCCGGGTTCGGTTCCCACTAAGGGCACGTACCTCGGTTGCAGTTTGTCCCCGGCCTTGGTTGGGTCGTGCGGGAGGCAGCCACTCGATGTGTCCCTTTCACGTCGATGTTTCTCTCTCTCTCTTTCCCACTCTATCTGAACAAAAAATGGAAAAATGTCCTCGGGTGAAGATTAAAAAAAAAAATCCTGCGAGGTATGTAGCATCACCCTCACTGTGCCGCCAGGGAAAACTGGGCCCCAGAGAGGTGGAGTGCGCTGGCCAGGGAGACACGCGGTGACTGACTCCAAAGCCCGCCTGTCCTGGGCTCACAGTACCTTCCTCATGAAACTGCTGTGAGGGCCAACAGTCGAAAAGAGCTTAATCTAATGCTAAATAAATATTGGTTGATTGTAATTTTTAAATTGAAGAGTTTAAAATGACTTTTGCTTCATTGTCTTATTTTTGTCCTTATAAGTAGAGTCAGACCACCTCACCTCAAACTGGGGAATTCTCCCCAATCCCAGTTCTTAAACGAGTGAGCGGGTGTGACACGGAACAGCGGCCCCGCTCTGCACGGACCAGCGTGCACGTTACAGGGCTGCCTGCGGTGTCTACTTCCGGAAGTAGACATGAGTGCTGGGGAATACTCAAAAATGCCAGCATGGCATGCAGAACAGGGTGGCATATAGTAGGTGTTCAAGAAAATTCTGTTGAATGAGTCCGGTTCTTAGTCCTCAAGTGGGTTACAGTACTGTTGGGGGAGCACAAGTGATATACAGAAAACTCATCAACATATAAAAATAAAGATATTTGTATTCTTACAAAAAGGAAGAAAAAGGTGCACATTTGGAGATTTGCAAATTGATCCTAAAGTTCTTAAAGACTTCTTGAAAGAAGTGCATTTAAAAAATTGGCTCCACGAACAACCATATCAAGGCAAAGTCACCGCTGAAATGTCACCTCTTCGAGATGCTCTGTCGTACCGCCAGGACTACAATAGCATCCCATTTACTCTCCGTCCTTTTACTCTGCTTTATTTTCTTCACAGCACTGAACACACCGAATATTACGTTATCTGTTTGTCCATCTTCCTCTGTTATAACATAAACTCCTTGAAGGTCACAGCTTTCTTTTGTTCAGTGTTATCTACGCAGCACCTAGAATAGCTCCTGGGCCATTGTAACTGCTTAATAAGTATCTGTGGAACGACAGAATGGCTGAGCGAGTGGACATGAATTTAAGTGAATAGTACAGATAATGCAGCCTTAAGGACTGGGACCTGACTGCAGAAGTCAGAGCATGCTTCTTGGAAGATACTGGGCTCCACACCCAAATGATTCCTCTGTATGCTGCCTTGTCAACCAGAGTGTGAGCTCCTCAACAGGAGGGGCCACATTTTCTCATCCACATCCCTGGTGCCCAGCACAAATCTTGGTTTATCATGAGAATTCAGTATGGCCTGGCCAGTGTGGCTCAGGGGACTGAGCATCGTCCCATGGACTGAGAGGTCCTGGTTTGGTTCCGTCAGGGCACATGCCGGGATGGGGGCTCAACGCCCAGTGAGGGGCGTGCAGAAGGCAGCTGGTGGATGTTTCTCTCATGTCAATGTTTCTATCTCTCTCTCTCTCTCAAAAAAAACAACAACAATAAAAGCATATTTTAAAAAAAGAATTCAGTATGTATTTATCGAATAAGAAAGCTGAATCCTGGGTTAGAAAAGACAAAGAATTCCATATTCTATTTGAAGAGAAGAGGTGCCCAAGCTGTCTGGAATCCAGACCCCCAGATGCATGGGCTGTGTGCTCTCCCCACTCCAGGTCCTAGCACCCAACTGAGCCCTGTGCTGTCTGTCTCAATGGGAAGGCCCCCACGCTGCCAGAAGAGCTGACGATGAGAAGAGATCAGCCTTGGCCTTACCTGTTGGCTGTCGGGTCCTTGCTTCTTTCAGGTAGTACAGTGCTTTGTCATAGTCCCCAAGGTGGTAGAAGGCCACACCAGACCGGTAAAGGGCCTTGAAGTTCTCCCCTTCCTTCTTCAGGACTTTGAGGCAATACTCCTTGACTCGTTCATAGTTCACCAGCTCAGCCTGGAGCAGGCAGGCTGCAGAGAGAGCAAGAAGGGAAAAGCCATCAACCCAGCAGCAGCAGCAGCAGCAGCAGCAGCAGCAGCAGCAGCAGCTCTGAATGTCTCTGTGGGCCTTTCTCTCCATCCAGAGAAGGGTTAGGAGTGTTGGGGCTCTACATGGGGGTTCATGCCATAAAATGTGTCATCACATAATCCTGGGATCTAGGACCCAGTTTCATCACCAACAAGCCGTGTGACCTTGAACATGTTCCTTAGTCTTGTATTATGGGTTAAATTGTGCCATCTACCTCTGCTGAAGATATGTTGGATTCTGAACCCTCAAACACCTCAGAATGCGACCTAATTCAGAAATAGGGTCTTTACAAAAGTAATCAAGTGAAAAAGGGGTCATTAGAGTGAGTTCTAAGCCTTATGAAAAGGGTGCTATAGGTTGAATGTTTGTGTCCCCTCAAAATTCATATGTTGAAAATTAATTTCCAATTTGGAGGGTCCTTTGGAGGTGACTAAGTCATGAGGGTGAGGTTTTCATGATTGGAATTAGTACTCTTATAAAAGAGACCCCAGAGAGCTCCCCACCACCTCTGCCTGGTGAGGGCGTCCCCTTGGGAGGCAACGCTGCTCCTTCCTGCGCAGACCTGGCTGGGTGGCGGGGTGCGGGCACACTGCCCCTCTGTGCCCCTCTTCCACGCCGGGAGAACTGTCTTCGGATAGAGGCAGGTCACTGATTTTAATCGTCAGATGTTTTGATCCCTTAAATTACTTCCTAGGGATCATAGTTCAGGGAAAGCAGGAGAGGGGTGGGAGCAGGGAGGAGGGGGTCAACAAGGGGAAAAGGTGCAAGTGTGGGAGAAACATCTGTGATACTTTCAACAATAAAGATAAAAAATAAAAACTACATTAAAAAACAAAAAGAACTTCCTGGGGATCAGAATGGCTGATTAAGAGACCAGACTTTTCATTGTGGACAAGACAAGACAAAACAAAACAAAACAAAACAAAACAAAACAAACATCCTTTTGCAGAGTTGGGGGGAGGTGCACCACAGTTTTTCAAGTTGAAGGTGTGAGAACCAGGAAGTGGAAGAGAATCGGCCCAGATCTAGAAACTGACCCATCAGGTTTCACTGGCCACAGGGCAGAAAGCCAAACAAGTCAACAAAGCAACAGGCTGCTAGCCCCATGGGCCTGGGCGTGGGCGGCTGTCGTCACAGAGGATCTCTATCCGCGGACATGCAGGGGGCTGATCCTGAGCTGAGCCACCAGCTCCCTTCCCTCTCCTCCCCCAGCTGTGTGTCTGCCCCCCCCCCCCCCCCCCCCCCCCCCGTGGGTCTGCCATGGTGCTCACACAGCTCTGCACAGGGAGGGTTTCTGTCAGGAGGTCCTGCGTGTGGACCTCTGGCTGCCACCTGTGGGGGCCTGGGCTCCCCAGAGCTAACAGACTTCCCGTCTGTAGCTTCCCCGTGCCCCATCTGATGTGATATCGGTCTTCTTCCGGTCCAGCTTTCCACCCAGACGCACTTGTTTGCTGACCTGAGCAGTGGAGGAAATGGACCTTCTTCTTTTGTTTTTTATTTTTTAAGTTTGTGAACATCTAAAATGGTGGGGCAGTGGGGAGCAAAGAGGCCTGGAAATGGAAAAGATCCCCCCCCTCCCAGGCAAAATGAATGATAGCAATCAGTTTCTGGGACTCATTCCATGGAAATGTCATGAATTCCCCTACAGATCCGGTGGGAAGTGTGATCCCGGCTATGGACTAGGGCTTAGGCCCGGTGGGAGGTGGGCCCGGTGGCACAGGGTGTGGCGTGCCAGGGGCAGAGCCCAGGGATCTAGAGTCGGCTGGGCTGCCACCCAGATAAGGAACCAGGGGAGCCAGGGTGCCAGGCCAGAGCGCTTCAGAGGGTCTGGGTAGAGGAGGTAAGAGAGGGTCTGGAAAGCTGCCCCTGCCCTGCTTACATGTGATTTTGGGGCACCTCTCTAGTTTGGCTTGAGAGCTATTTGGGGTCCATGTAACAAGCCCATGGGATAGATAAGCTGGGATGTTTTAAGGCACATTTTAGAGCTGAGGAGGAGAGGTTGATCAGTAGTTTTCTGATGTTCCTTCCAGGTTCCTGTGCCCATTATCCAAGGTGTGGGGGCTGCAGTGGACCCTTAGAATAGGTTGGGTCATCCACTGCCCTTCCTTTATCTCAGTTTTAATCCCTTACCCTGTGTCGGAGGTGGCACTCAATGCCGTACATATGCCATGTCTTTTAATCGTCACAATAACTCTATGAAACAGGTTCTCCTTATGGTTCTTTTACAGATGACAAAACCCAGTTCCATAGAAATTAAGTCACCTGCTGAAGGTCACTTGGCTAGGATGTGGCAGAGTTATGACATCTACCCACTCCTGCCAGGCTCCTAAGACTGCTCTTGACCATGGGTACCTGTGAGTCTGTATCTGGAGCCTTTGGAACCCACCAAACCCCTGGGAAAGAACAGGTCACCGCTGTAAACTGCCTCCCCGTGTTCCAGTCCTCAAGGCCAAAAGGGCTCCCTGACCTCACTGGGCACCGCACAGGCCGCTGGGAGCAGGTGAACCAAACTCCATCTCGGAGCTGATGGCCTGTGGGGTGAAGAAGCAGATGTTACACTATCTTAGATACTCCAGCGCCAAGGCTGTGAAGGAGAAGGGACGAGTGGAGGGAGGGGCCCTCGACCAGTATCAAGTACCATGAGAGGGCTTTTGGGAAAAAGTGGTATTCAGGGGAGTTCCAGAGATTGTTTCTCAACCTCAGCGATAAACATTTTAAGCTGGATAATTTCTTGTTGTGGGGGGATGTTCTGTGCATTGTAGAGTGTTCAGTAATGCCCCAGGCTTCTATCCACTAGATGCCGGTGCAGCAACCAAAAATAGTCTCCGAAATACTGCCAAATGTTTCCTAGGGGGTAGGATCCCCTGTTTGAGAACCACCGAGGTAGATGGGAGAAAATGTTCTCTAGGCAGAGCGGAGAGAGAGAAGCTGGGAAAGCAAGATAAAACCAGAGCACAGACTCTTCCAGTCCTGCTGAGAACCTGGGGTTTTGTTCTGAGGGCATGAGTGGATTTGGATGATAAAATGATGGTGACTACACTGACTCAAGTGGAGGCAGGAGAAAGGGAGTGATTTAAGTGGCATCCAGAGATGGGCTGATGTGCATTAGGGAACCCCTGAAATACTTGGCGTCTGTTGTTACATTCATGGGGGTAGAGCCCTTCATCCGGGATTATCACTGTGGACTCACCAATGAGCCAGGACTCCACCCCCATCGCTGTGACCTGGTCTCTGTTGGAACTGGAGTCTGTAACAGGGCTGTCTCTGTGCTCTGCCAGACAGCATGGATCAAGGTCTCAAAGAGCAACGGGCTGGGCACCAGGAGAGCTGGATGCTAGCCCCACCTTTGCCACCTGCCAGCACCGGAAGAGCACTTGCCCGTCCTGGGCCTCCGTTTCCTGTCTACAGAACAAGGGCCTGCACCTCCCTGAGTAATTTCTACATCCGTTTCGCTCTAACAGCCTATCGATACAACAATGTTCGCCACTTCCTAGAAGGACAAAATCGGTTCACACGTTTCTTCTAAAGGAATCCTGTTGTCCCTGCTACTTACGGGGAGGCGTCTTCTGTGGGAACGCAGTCCGCACTGGTAGAGTGGGCATCAAAAGGGCTTCGAAGGTAAGACAATTCTGCTATGGAGAGTTTTTATTTCGGCATAGAGATTGGGTTATATGTTCTGATGTGGTCTCCCCGAGACAAGGCTCTGGGGCAGGGCCTTCCCGGACGGGAGTGAGCACTAACGTGGGGGTCGGTCTCAGCAGAGGGGACTGTGGATTGGGAAGGCCAGTCTTGGGCTGGATGGAGAGAGAGCCTGCTCCCGTCTATGACCTTGACTCTGAGTGTACACTTGGATTCAAAGATGCAATCATGGAGCCACAGAAGGGGTGCAGGGTGGGGAGACACACCCACCGTGGACATGGAAGATGGGCCTGAGTTTCCAGACAACTATATCTAGAAGCTCTTTGGAAAGAAACGTTATTAACCTTCTGGTCTTTGGGTCTTTTGACACGATTGAATAAATGTTGCAGCTTCGAATGAGCTAAGCTGTGGAGAATTAAGGCAAGCTTCTCTTCCTTGCTTGGGAAGAAGGGCTAGGAGAGACACAGCCTTCCCTGAGCCTGATGTGGTGACAGTGGTGGTGGCCGGTGCAACTTACAAGAGAAAGGTGGATCTGGGGGACAAGGAATGAGGCTGTAAGTCTCCACCCACCTCTCCTTGGTGGAGGTCACCCTTCCAGTGCCCCCCCTGGGTGGTTAGGGTGTGTTTCTATGAAAAGGGCAGTCTTTCTTAAGGGGGTCTGTGGAGGGAAAAGTTCGAGAACAGCGACTTAAAGAACCCCAATGCACATTCATGCACTCAGACAAGGGAAATCATTTGATGTTCCCCAAAGCAACCACACTGAGACCTCAGGCTAACACATGTCAGATCCGCCTGGCTCTGGCACCTGTGTTTTTCCCGGTGCATGCAGGGCATAGTGACTGCCCGGGCAAAGTGCCACGCATTGGCACGAGATGAAGGGAAGCGGGATGAGAGGAGGAAGAACAAGTTCATGTAGTCATTGGTTGTCAGCTGATTCACTGTAGTTTGCCCTTCCCTGCTGAACAGAAGGGAAGATGGGCAGGATGGGAGGGAAGCAAAGAGCCACCCGGGGCCAGGAGTGAGGGGAAGGAACCTGCTCTATGAGGCTGCCTCATTGTTACGGGTTGAATTGTGTCCTCCCAGAAAGATATGTTGGAGTCTCAGGATATGATCCTATTTGGTGAGAGGGTCTTTACTCGAGTCAAAATGAGGTCATTAGGGTGGACCCTGGTTCAAAATGGCTACTGTCCTTCTAAAGAACAGAAATTTGGACACGGATAGACACACACACAGGAAAGGCAATGTGAAAAGACACAGGGAGAAGACAGCCATGTACACACCAAGGACGGGGAGGCTGCCAGAA